AAGTGGAACCGTATAGTACGTGCTCTTTTGCTTCTGGCTTCTCATTATGTCTGGGAGGTTCGCCCGTGTTGTTGCCATGTGTTGGTAGTTGGGTTACACGAATATACCACAGTTTGTGTATCCATTGCCCGGTTGATGGACACTTGCCTTGTTTCCAGTTTGGGCCAATTGTGCATACAGCTGCTATGAACATCTGAGTACAGGCCTTTGTGTGGACGTGTTTTCATCTCTTTGGGCACATACCTAGGCGTGGAGTGGCTGGACCATAGGCTAAGTGCGTGTTTAACCTTTTAGACATTTCTGTTGCCTTCCAAGGTGGTTGAACCGTGTTGCGCTCCCACCAGCAGTATGGGAAAGTTCCCCGTGCTCCCCATCCTCGCCAAGTGTGCTCAATCTTTGTAATTTTTGTTGCTACTGTTTAAAATGAGCCAATATATAAATGGAGTTTCTGGAAGGTTTTACTCCTGGTGTTGGATAGTTTCTGTGTGTTCCAAAATGAATTATTTGTTTGTGTCTCTGTTTGTCTTCCCAGGATTCCTTTCCCACTCTGGGGTTGGAGGGGACAGTAGAGTCTTGGTCACAAAAGTTTGGGAACTGCTGTTCAGAGAGGGGACTGGGGGTTTGTCCCCTGCCCCATCTCTGTGCTCCCCTGGAGCTCTGGGCCCTGGTCTGGGGGTCCCAGCCCACCTGGGCCTCTCTTTCTCTCTTCTCCACAGATATTGGCCCAGTGACCCTCACGGCGGACCCAGTGGTGTTTCAGAGGGAGCTGAGAGAACTCTACGTGCAGGTGGGCTGCCCCTGCCCCCGGCTGCTGGCCCTCTGTGCGTTCTTCCCAGGCCATGCCACAGACAAAGGTCTTTGCCCCACCAGGGGCCAAGTTGGCAGCTTCCTCCACCTTCCATGACCGGCCCCTCAGCTCTGCCCGTGGCCTGCACTCTGGCTTGGGGGCCCTGGAGATCTGTACTTATTGGGGTTCCTTCCTTCATTCAGTGAACCAAGTACCTCCAGGAGCCCCTGTGCCTGGCACTATGCCCAGCACATAGTAGGTGCTTATTATTTAGTGAGTGAATGGAGGGGTGGAAGGAGGAAGTGGTGATGCCCAGTTAAGGGTGTGTGTGGTGACTGGGGGAGGATGGGAGACGGGTCAGTTCAGACCCCTAAACCAAGCCCAAGACTGGGTCAGATGCCGCACGACTGCCTGGGCTCCTTTGCCACACAGAACACCCTGGTTCAGCATCTCTCTTCCCTCCTGCCCACTGAGACCACCAGTTTCCTGAAGGCAGGGTCCGCACGTATTAGTCTAGTTCACTGCCTGATCCCCCAGGGCCCAGAACAGGCCCAGCACAAATCGGGGCTCAGTAAGTCCTTGTGGGGTGAATGAGTGAATCAAGGCCAGAAGCATTTACCAAAGAGTTACCACGTGTAAATCCTGCTGCTGTGGCCTGGCTGTACAGACGTGGCTGAGACAGGCATAGGCTCCCTTCCTGCGGAGGGCCCCCATCTGGTGGGCAGCGTGGGCAGGAGTATGTCTTTATTTGGGATCAATACCAGGGGAGGTTACAGAGAGGATTTGGGGCGGTGGCTTCGAGTGCTTTCCTCTTGCCCAACCCCCACGTCTCCCTTCCCCGGCTGCTCCCTATCCTGAAGCCGTGGCTAACAGGTGGCTGCTTGGGGCTGTCTGTTAGTTATTCCCATGGCCCCCACCCTCTTCCCCTACTTGTAGCACTCATCACAGTGAAAACTAAATAGCTGTGTTGGGCTTGTTGGTCAGCGCACCTGCCTCCCATCCCAAATTCCATGAGAGTGGGACCATGTCACTCTAGTGTGGGTGAATGAATGAATGAATGAATGAATGAATGGCGCGGCTTGTCTATAGTTAAGGCAGATCAGATGCTGCACTGTGTCTGGGAAGGGAGTGGCTGGTGTCATGGCCTGACTCCTGGGTGGGCAGGACACAGTGGTTTGCAGTGACTCCCAGCCCTCTGCCCTCCAGGGCGGTGGCGACTGCCCAGAGATGAGTGTGGGGGCCATCAAGGCTGCTGTGGAGGTCGCCAACCCTGGCTCCTTCATCTTTGTCTTCTCGGATGCCCGTGCCAAGGACTATCACAAAACAGAGGAGGTGGTACAGCTCCTGCAGCTGAAACAGTCACAGGTGAGTGAGCCTGCCTTTGGGGGCTCAAGCGGGAGCCACAAGGGGGTCCTGAGGAAGCTGGGGTCTTCCACTCAGCAGCCCTGAACCCCCACCGGGAGAGAGGAGCTGGCTCTAGCCTGCACCAGCCATGGCAGGCCGCCTCTCAGCACCTAGCAGGGTAGGTGGATTCCAAGTGTGTTCTCCTGCTCTGCTGGCCACGGCTCCTGCCTCCAGGACGAGGCTTGTTCCTGATAAAGACCACACCACTGGCTCCTGTCACACCCTGTAAAGTCTGCACCACCCGGCTTCCTCCGGCGTGGCCTCTGCTCCTGGTCCCTGCAGCTCACGTGCCCTTTTTCACTGTCTCAGGATTTGGAAGACATGTCAGGCTCTTGCTTCTTGCTTTTGCAGTGAGGGCTGCGGGGAGGCCGTGAGTGGCGAAGCGGGGAGGGCCTGCCCAATGACATCCTTGGGAGGAACTCAAGGGCTGGGACTGCCTCTCTGCTCTCGTGTCCAGGACACACAAGGTTCTTCAAGGTTCTCCTAACTCTGCAGCCTCCAGGGGCCACTCAGCTCGAGAGGAGTTAACCCCCATGCCCTTCTTTGTCATAGATTTAATAACAGCTCCCACTTGCTGAGCCCCTGCTGTATTCCCGGCCCTGTGCTAAGCACTCATCCTACGTCAGCTCCCAATCCCCAGGAGATGGGTCCACATTATTCCCATTCTATAGATGTGTTACCTGAGCCCGGAGAAAGGAAAGGGCTCACCCCCGTCACTCCCCCCTGATTGGGACCCTGCCACTCACACCTGATGTAGGTGGCCAGGGAAGTTGTGAGCTAGGCTGCATGTCCATCTTCCAGGTTGTCTTTGTGCTGACGGGGGACTGTGGTGACCGCACCCATCCTGGGTACCTGGCCTACGAGGAGATTGCTGCTACCAGCTCAGGGCAGGTGTTCCACCTGGACAAGCAGCAAGTGACAGAGGTGAGCTCCGGTGGGAGTGCCTTCCCTGAGCCTGTTGTCTGGGCACAGTGAGGACGTTGACCACATCTCTGGGTCCCCGCATCTCTGGGTGTCTTTGCTGGGTGGTTGAATAGCACTCGGAGCTGAGCAGCACTGAGCACATGCTCACGACTGGTGCTGCAAACACTGCGCTCAGGGCATTATGATGTCATCTTGCTGAACCTCCAACCCACCCCAAAGGCAGGTACTTTGAGTTTTCAGACAAACGTTTTGCAAGTAAAGAGGCTGAGACTTGAAGTGACACCCTGGGTTTTGGTCCAGGTCCCACAGCTGGTCCAGGCTAGTGGGACAGACCTAGCAAAGTCTGGCAGAAGTGTGGGTGGGGGGTTCTTCTGAGATTCTCCCCAGAGTCAGGGAACCCGGGGAGGTTGGATGATCACGCAGAGACATCATATTCAGGCTGTGTCATTAGGGACTTGGCAGGGAGGGGCTCGCTTTGTGGCCTGAGATGCCATGGTCTGCATTCACTCCCAGCCCACTGCTAACCAGGCGTCTGCCTCCTGGTCTTGCTCGTGGACCTGTGTCTGCCCTTCCTCCCCTCCAGGCTCCATTGCACCTGCCTGCCTGGTGGCCTCCCCACCTTCTCTGTACCCCACGGTTCCATTCCTTCCCAGTAGCCAGAGGCATTCTCCCAGTGATGTGCTGGTAAATGATTAACAACCACCTCTCTGGAAAGAACAGGATGCCCTTTCCCCTGGTGTAAATACTCTTGATTTCACGCTGTTGTCATGAAGCCAATGAACAGAGTGGGTAAGTGATGCTGATAGTTGGCATTTTTGAGCGTGTGAGCTGGCTCCAGCATAGTGCTGGATTGTCCTAACACAAATCTGACCACAGGTCCCTCCTCATTGTCCCCTAGAAAATGTCCAGACCCTTACCGGACCCCTCTGCCTTTCTTATCTCACTGCCTAAGTACCTACCCTTGCCCACTACTCCCCAACTCACTGGCCTCTGCTGTTTCTTCAAATGTCCCAGGTTCTTCCCCACCCCAGGGCCTTTGCTCATGTGGCTTGATCTTCCAGTTCCTCCTCCCCTGGCTCCTTCTCATCTTCCCAGTCTTAGCTGAGATGCATCTCTTCACCAGGCCTTCCTTGATTTCTGCCAAGATCAAGTCTCCTTTCTTACCCTCACCCAGCTCCCTGTACCGCTTTACAAAATTATAATTTTATAATGTGAGATTCTTTAGTGTCACAAAGCTGTGAGCTCCCCAAGGGCTGGGCCGTCTTGAGTCCCCTCTGCCACCAAATCCCCAGCACCTTGCCTTACCAGAGCGTAGCAGGTGCTGGGTGGAGAGCTGACGAATGAACAGACAGGGGTGCCTGAGGCCCTGTGGGGAGGAAGGTGAAAGAAGCGTCTCCAAGCCGGCCACAGGCTTGAGCCAGCCCTGCTGCTGCCTCTGGGAGAGAGTTTCATGTATTGTATGTTTATGAACTGAAGAGAGCAGTTTGCAGAGCTGTGTTTAGATTAGCATGCCTTAACTCCCTGTTGACAGATGGCGTTTTGGGTTCTCTGTGACACATTAGGCTTTATTTTTGGCATGTCAGCCTACTCCGGCACTGAGCCTCCCATGCGAGGGTGGGAGGCATTTCAGAGTGGAGGGATGGCTTGATCCTTGCTTTAGGGGAGACCTATCTGGGCAATGGTCTGAAACCTGGGTTCCTGCCAGGGGCAACTGGGCAGGGTGGAGGATGGCTTGTCCAGGTGTGGGGCAGGGAGCCTGGGCGAATCCACCGCTCCTGGCTGTGGTGCCAGCTTTCTGCCGTGGGAGTCTGGCTGGGCAGCACGCATCTGACTCAGTGGGACTGCTGATAGCCAGGATTGACTGCATCTGGGTAGGGGCCTGGATCCCTCTCCTTCCTGGACACAGAGCTCTGTCGTTCATTAGCTTAATGCTTTGGACCTAGCCCCTTCCAGATGTTTGCAGACATTCAGCGAGCCTGGGAAAGTGTCTAGGGCAGCCAGGACTGTGGTCACCGCCTTTCCCGCCCCCCACAAGAGAGGCGAACAGTGCCTTCACCCATGCCACGGGGACTCTAGCTGGGAGAAGGACGCAGATATTGCGAAAGTCTCCAAAGAGTGCATATGTGGTTAGTCCTTTTAGCTTTTTCAAAGTACATCCAGTGTGGCAGGAACAACATTCTGTGTTCTCTCTTCCCCTCGTTTATTGAGCACCTGCTATGTGCCAGGTGCAGCTGGAGGTGCTCGGTGTGGAGGTGGCAATCCATCAGTGCTTAGGCCTCCCTGATTTTGAGCATTTGCCTCTTTCCAGTTGTGGAGTTGGCTTCAGTGGTACCAGGAACCCCCTTTGGGAGGGTGAAGATCCCCTCCCCTGGTAGGAGTAATTTGGAGTTTTTACCATCCTTAAACAGACAAAGGGCTATGTCAGAGACAGGCGGTGTGGCCCCTTGAGCCTGTCCCAAAGGTGTGCATTTTTGATCAACACTTAGGTCCAGGAACCCCCTTGCACCAGCGTAGCCTCCCACAGGCTTCCCCTGCTATGCTGTTACCAGCCTCAGTGTTGTGGGGTGGGGTGAGGAAGGAGCAAAAGAGCTGGACAAACCCAATTATTCTGCAGCCTCCCCTCATCCTGAGAAGTCCTCTTTGTCTTTTTGTTTGTTTTTGGTGGCTGGCTGGTATGGGGAACTAAACCCTTGACCTTGGTGTTACAGGGCTGAGCTCTAACCAAAGGGCTAACTGGCCAGCCCCCCTCCATATTTTTGCAGGGAGAGCACTGGGCCTCTTGCTCTCCTCTGCCTCCCTCCCCTCTCCCCGCTGCAACACATATGCAGCGCAGCCAGTCCTGGGGACGGGGACCCTACCCATGTACAGTACCAGCAGGTACAAATGGCAAATTGCCCACATTCTGCATATCAACTAGGAGAAAGGCGACCCGCCTTCTAAGAAAGTAAGGATAGGGGGTGGGGGTGGGGTGACAGGGGAGGTTCTGACCAGGTGGCTCTGATTAACAGATCAGGAAAGGCCCAGAAATGACTTCATCCTGGATGCTTCCTAGGGGGAGATGGTGCAGTGGAAAGGTTATAGCCTGGACTCCAAGGCAAGAGGCCTGGCTTCAGACTACAGCTCTGTCACCTACCTGCTGTGTGACCTTGAGCACAGTTCTTAACCTCTCTGGGCTGCAGTTTCCTCTTCTGTCCAGAATCCACCCTTATTTTTCCAATCTGCAGTTGTCAGGCCCGTTCAGTCTCCTGGCTCCCCCTTTCTGCTTCCTCAGCTGCCCTGGCTGTCAAGGGTCCTGGGAGGAGCCTCTGGGGATGATTTGTCTGCTGTGAAGGGCCGAGCAGCAGCCATCTGGCCAGGGTAGCAGCACCAGATTCTTTCATTCCTTCCCTATCAGTGACAAAGAGATGAGCCCTGATGCATTGCTGGCTCCTAGGCCCCCAGCCCCGCTAACATCTGGAAGCCATTGCCCTTGCCAAGTAAACACTGAGCTTGCTTAATGAAGGTTCTCTGCTCAGAAGGCTCCCCAGATTCCACTTTGGATCCCCAGGGGCATCACAGGGTCCAGAAGGCCTTGCCCCCAGGACTGGCCATACAGGGAGTCTGGCCTTGCTGTGGGCGAGAGGGTCAGCTCCCCCAACTCCTGAGTGATGGTGTACTTACAGGGCAGCCCCGCGGGCAGGTCACCTCCTGGTGGGGTCACTGGCTTTCTGTCATGTGTCCTAGCATTCTCCCTGATTCAGTAGCCTAAACTGCTGGGCATCGTCCCTCCATCAGAACATCCTAGAAGGAGCTTGTAAGGGCAGTTGCAACTCGGTGCCGGGTGTGACTTGTCTGGGTAATTGTCAGCTGGTGTTGCCGCCACTTCTCAGCAGCTCTGCTCGGTGACAACTCCCTCCTGACCCCTGACAAGGCCTGGCCCCAGGGGAAGAGGACGGTGGCCACAGAGCTACTTATGTGCTGTCAGGGGAGCTGCCTGCCTTCCTCGGCCAGCTGCTGTCCACCTCTCCAGCTGGGACTCCTCGGCTGCTGCTCCTTTCCAGTCCACCTCTGCATGGACAAAGAACTTCGTCCCCACTCCTTGGCCAAGACAGGTGGGACTTTTTCAAGAGACACATTACTTAGAAAGCTAGGCAAGACAGAAGAATGAAGTGGCTCCAAGTGTGAAAACAGATGAGTTTCTAGAACACAGAATTCTCACTCTGTGATAACTGAAATCGAGCCATAAACTTCTAGGCACGTGGGCTCCAGCTCAGTCTGAGCAAAACATATTCATTTCCTCAATCTCAGGCAATTCTTCCAAATCTCTTCTTTTCCTGTTTCCTTCTGTGGACGACCCCATGGTAGGCAGAGCTGAAAAACTATGATTTGGAGCAAGGAAGGCCGAGAGGTAGCAGACAGGCACCACTTCCTAATCCCATACCCGTGCAGGCATTGCTAGTCAATCACAGAACCCTTCTAATGGAGGCTGAACGTGGCTTTGCACTTTTTCTTCAAACAGCATTCCACGAAGCCATTTCTAGATGACTGGGGCTGGCAAGCAACAGCATACCACTGTGCTTGCTCAGGTATATGTTAAAGTCATGGCATACTCGTTACTTGTAGGTGACTTTTACTTAAAGTTACTACGAGAAATCTCAAGGATGTTGAAAAGCCAAAGCAACGTACCTACCAACTCAGTTCAGCAATTGTTAACATTTTTGCTCTCCTTGCTTTATCTATCTATCTATGCCTTTTACTCAACTATGATACCTATCCATAAATAATTTGGCATAGACTTTTTTTTAAAAAAAGGTAGTCTCCACCATAATCCATAATATCACTAATAAAATTAAGACGAGTTTCCTAGTATCATCTTATACCCAGTCCGTATTCAGATTTCCCTAATTGTGTTATAGCATCAAAGTCAAGGTTTCAGATCCCGATACCAGCCAGCTGCAAAAGAAAACCAAAAACAAACCCGCTTTTCCTGAATTATCCCCCAAATGTCTTTTATAACAGTCTTTGTCCAATGAGGACTTAATCAAGTGCCTTTCATTTGGTTCTTATGTCTATTAAGTCCCTTAAATCCGGAGTTGTTTACCGTCTTTTCATGGCACTAAGTTGTTGAAGAGGCATTGATTTGTACTATGTCTCGTGTTCTGGATTCATGCGATTGTTTCCTTATGTCATTATTAGCTTTTTCCTTTTTCCCCGATAGTCCCCCTAAACTGGGTTAGTCCAAAGGGCTGATTAGAGGACGGCTGACATTTTGGCAGGAAGAGGTCAGAGCTGGTGCTGTGTGTACTTTCTCTCGCCTCCTATCAGGAGGCAGATAATGTCCGCCTGTCCTGCTGTTACTGATGGTAAGTTTGGTTGCTGAGTTAAGGTGGCGACAGCCAGCTTTCCACGTTGTGCAGCCGTGCTTTTCCATTTATGACTCAAGTGCTCTGTGGGATCACGCTCCGTCTCCAAGCGAACATCCAGTTTCCCCATCAACCTTTCATCTGTGGTTTTAGCGTCCACAGAGGATTCTTGCCTGAAACGATTATTTTATTAGGGGTTGCAAAATGATGATTTCCTAATTGCATCATTCTTTCCACATTTATTAGTGGACATTCTTCCAAGAACTTTTGCTCATCAGAAGGGATCATTTGGTTTCTCTCAAGTACAATTTCTATTGAAAAAGCAGGAATCACATTTAGTTCTTTCTCTTTAATTAAGAAGTCATCTTCAGTGGGTGGCAACTAAGGTTTTACTGTTTTGAATTTTGCTTTCTCTTTTTTGAGTACTGTTATGGGACAGGGGTTATGTAATTCAGTATGTTTCAGTTGATTACAGTTGTTATTCTTTTTCAGGCTCAAGTTTTCCCAGATTTAGCCAGTGGGAGCTCCTTTAGGCTGGTTCCTATATCCTCTCGATATGTCTCCATTAGTCTTTGAGAACATCTTTGCCTTAAGGAATAACCAGTTGTCCCAGGCTTACCTTATAAATTGCCTGCCCCAGACCTGGAATTAGTCATTTATCCAAGGAACCCTAGTAGGGAATGGTATTTAGAAACCAAAATCTGGGTAGTAGGGGTGATCACTGGTATTGAGATTTGGGGACATCATTCCTTCTTATCTATCTTTCTATCATCAAGAACATTTATACTGGGCTGGCCTCA